CACTCTACAACGGCTTTTAAATAAAATTTTAATTGTATATTATACAACGTTGATTGTTGAATATTTTAATATATTTTAAATATTTATACAAGTTTAATTGAATTTTATTCAACTAAACAGTGATACAAATATGAACATCCCCCCTTTAATATAAAACACACTGTTTAACAATACTTGTACATAACATGGTGGTTTAAAAAGTAGTCTAATATTCCTTAGGATTAAATCTACAGGGAAAAATGTGTTTGGTTCAAACGAAATAAAAAGTATTTGTTTGAAGTTAAGCATAAAGCTACACAATTGGCTATCTGTGCTCTGCCCACCACGGGTATCGAAACCCGGTTTCTAGCGTTGTAAGTCCGCAGACATACCGCTGTGCTACTGGGGGGCAATAGAAATTTAAAAATGATTTGAGTGGATATTATTAAAACATGACACAAACAGGTTCTTAATCCCATATTTCTAAGTTTTGGCTCAGTGACTATCAAAGAAGATCACTTGGGATATAATCTGAATACATTAACTTAAAAACAGACTTATTTATTCCAGTTATCAATACAAACACTAGTACGGTAATCAAAGGTGCACGTTAAAGGTTGTAACACCATAGACAGTAAAAGTGGCACGTAAATGACGAATAAACATTATTAAATAAACTTATAAGTATCATTTCAAACTATCATACATTTATTTTGTGATAAGAGAACTGGTGTTTCTGCAACGCGCGTAATATAATGGTGAATGACTGAAGCAAACGAATAGTTAATTATTACGTAATCTAGAAAAATGTGCCATTTAATGCAATTATTCTAATAGCTTATTTATACAAGTTACATGATGAGGTTTCCAATCACGTGTTGAATCATTAACTTACTGTCAGAGTGAATGGGCTTCCTCTAGTTATTAGTCATTGTTAGGGAGAATTACATACAGTTTTGTATATACTAGTGTCAGACTTTTCTACGAAACCAGTTCGTTTATCTTATAGTATTGGCTTTAATGCATAGTATATGTGTACACACACACACACACACGCGCATATATATATATTTATACTTATAAAGCTTACTTTAAATTGATAAGTTAGTACATGGAATTTGAATTAAACTGGACGATTCTCGTGAGCTATTATTGGGATTATGGCCAAACATATTGATAATAGCAAGGGTACCCAACCAATGAGTCCATGTATTCTAATAATTATAAATCGTTGTGTTATCACATTGTATACTCCTCGGTATACAAGTATATTAAATTAGCTACGTTACACACTGCCCTCTGATGGCTCAATATATAACTAGGGAGATGTCATGATGTTAAGAAACACGTAGGTCCAAGAAGTCTTGATCGAAATGAATAAAAACCCTATGGACCGAGCGCTTTCGAAAAGCTGACCTTTCTTCTTCGGGGCAAACTGATTTTCCCCTGAAGAAGAAAGGTCAACCTTTCGAAAGCGCTCGGGTCACAGGGTTTTTACTCATTCGAATCTAAGGAGTTTGTGGATTGATCGTTACGTTTAGCATAGTACAGCTACCCCCTCTGTTGTGCATCTTTGCACTTGAAAACAAACATTATTTACTAAGTTTTAGTTCTGATCTATGCGTTTAGCCTGCTTTGATTTGAAATTATTGATAATTACGTGTTTTTCAAATAATCTAACCTGTAATGTTTCCTATGAAATAACTAATATTGACTCTTGGTACGTATACATTGCAACTAATACACCAGGGAAACGTGTGGTTATTACACGTTGAATGTACAGTGTATTTAAGCTATATCCGCATCATAGCTATCTAGCGCCATCTATACTTTTATTTAAAAAAGCTCCTTTATCATCATATACTGATATACGTTAATTAATATTATATTAACATACAAGAAAAACAACAATGCTGACCTTTCACCTAACAATGCGGAATAAATCAATGCTCCATTTATTTTATCACGCACCTTTCAGAGCAAGGCGATCCCACGATAGTCATGAGGCAAGGTATCAATCCTATTTAATTGTTATGTAAAATCTAATCTTAATGAAATTAGACAAGAGGAAAGGTAGCAAGTTAATGGCACCCACCGCCAACTCTTTGGTCATGCTTGTCTGACCAAATAGCGGGATTTAATTGTGGAGCATGTTATTTCGGCAACGGGTCGCGAAGCTATGAAATTAAGCCTGTTGAGCCTCAAGTTACTGTAGAGTTAAGTTTTTGGATTGCCATTGTTTGGATTGGTTCTGGTGTGTTGATAAACATGGTGTATTTGTGAGTGTGTGTGTGTGTGAATTTTGTGGTTATGTTTCTTTTGCCCACAATCAAATTTCTATTTTTTGAAATGGTGAATCCATATGGTTCTTCCACCCCCTCCCCAAGGGAAACATTTTGTGAGGTTGATTAAAATCTGTTGTTTAGAACCTTAGTCGGGGGGAGGAGGATAAAAATTAATTTCCATTGGAGAATTAAACGAAATATATTTTATTGTAACTTCCCCGTTTGTAAACTATTTTATTGTTTTAAAACAAAGCCCACTTAACAAAAAGGCATGTTGTAAATAATAATTAACAATTGTGTACTGTAAAAAACCCTCATAATTAATATCTATAGAAACATCCCACAACAATATATATATATATTCAGAACATAACGATACTTTAAAGAAACATTCAACCCCCAAATACCCGCTGGTACCCATTATACAACCAACTGGGGTAAAGTAATGTGTCTTACTCAAGGCCACAACCACATGGTGCGAGCAAGCCATGAGATTCAAAGCATTTCTAAGAACTTATGATTGAATACAAAGAATAATATGTACTAATCACACAAACAAGTTCAGTTTATTAAACCTTATATTGGCCACGTCTAAACAGTATGAATACACATAGTGATTTCTATACTTACTCTAACACTTCTTTTTCGTGAAAGTCCAAACTCGTCATCATCGGTCCCATGTGCATTCAGAGCAGCAAAGTTCAGGCTCCTGAAACAAAGAAAGTCGGGTAATTATGTCTTATCTCGAATGACATAACTATATATGGAAACTTACCATAATTGTCTTTTTTTGTATAATTGATTATAACATAGAATGTATCATTTTGGTGTTTCCATTAGTTTCTTTTCATAAAGTAATATACCCTACATACTCAAAACGTCTGTTAATTAGTTGTGTTCATAAAACCTAACTCTTCTAACTTTTATATTAATGTTTTAAACAACAAAACTGACACAACTGAAAGTACTCAGAATTTACTTTCCCAAATTGTGTTTTATCTCGTCAATAGATGGTGCTCTTACTAATATAACTTTTTTTGTTTTTTTTAAATATTCACCGATCTGCCTTTCACTGTGCTATCGACAGTAGCCCGACAAGATTAATTTTATAGGAAAAATAATATAAATTAAAAAATAGGGTATTACATTTGATAAATACTTCTGTTTTCTTTAAGCAGAAAACAAAAAACATTGGTGCCTTCTGGATAAAGGTCACTTTCTCTTACTATTTGTACAAGGGTAATATAAGGAGGGAGCTATTGACCGAAGTAGCCATTGCAAGTTGTGTTACGTGGATCAATAATCGTCATTTTAAAATGAAGAAATAAAGCAAAAGCAAAAAATAAAAATACTATGATAAATGCTGTTAACATACTTTCAAATCTTAACTCTTCTATGAAATATATAGATAGTAACAAACTTTCGTGCTCACATAGGAACAAAACTCAATGTAAAAATACTCAAATGATAAAAACTTATAGCTTTGTTATTCTTAGGTGAACTAATTTCCTCGCAAGTACTATATAAGTTCACTTCACTTAATAACGGGAGGATCCACCAGGAATTATTCAAAGTAATCGAAATTTGAAAAATGTGAGAAATTAGATGGCATATACGATTTTAAGTGGAGCAATCTTTTATTGAAGACAAAGCATAAAAAAACTAAACGGCGCGTACTTTCCAGACTTATACAACAGGTTCTAATAGATTTGTGGATGAATTATCAGCTTTCTTCTTTCAAGACCAATATCTGGAAAACTATCGACGTTGAAACCAAGCAGAACTTTGAAAGTACCAAAGACCCGTTCTGATTCAGGAAAATTGGTATTCTTTCTTTGTAATAGCGTCATAATGACTGGCCATTTTCGCACACCATTCATTAGCTGTAACATACTGACATCATCTACTCGGCCAGGGAAGGACTGCAACAAATCATTGACCCTTTCCCACACTAAGGTGTGAAATTGCTGGAACATCCTTCCTGACAGAGTAGATACTATTTGCTATCGAGAACTACAACAGACACAAAAAACAACTAGAACGAAACAATTTCAACCATTTTCTAGACCACGTGCTAAAACTGCATAGGAACAGACTAAATGATTTCTTAAAAAATCCTATATTACTCAAGATTGTGGAAAATATGATATGCCTGCATATCACATAATCTGTCACTGATACTCTCTTACTAAATTAGAAAACAAAAACGAAAGAGACTGCTCTTAAACAATTGAAGTGAAAAGCATCGTGTTAAATACGTAGTTGATACATTTGATTTGTCCCAACTCAGGTTGTGTATCCAGTAAATACATGACTTTTTGGTAGTTGAATATTATATCTGATTTAGGGTAATATTTATAAACCTCCTAGAAATGTTAAAAAAAACAGTAATAGAAATTTTAGTTTTCTTCCCAGTTTGTTCTAGATGTAATAATAATTATACCTGCCACAAGACATCGGCATTAGGTTTATAAAACTTTTTAACACTACATTCCCTATCCCGTCTTTTAGAGATTTTCAAGAATTAGAAGAATGTATAATAACAGTATTCCAACCACACTTTGTGACCCATATCTATTGTTGACGTTTCACTTCGATCAATCAAGAGCTTATCAGCTATTTATGTAAACAATTTGTTACAATGACAATTGTTATGGTGTGAACGCCTTTTCCAAGATGGCGAAGCACGATTACAACCAATCATGTCTGTCAAAAGCCACCAGCATTAGGCCTATTACATTTTTTAACATTGCATTCCCTATCCAATCCCGAAATGGTTTTTAAGAATTAGAAGAGAGTATAATAATATTATTCTAACCATACGATGATCGCCAAATCCATTGCCGACCTTGCTTATTATTGGTTGTAATCGACTAATCGTACTTCACCATCTTGGAAAAGGCGTTCACAATTCCCAAAATGCAATGTGTAGCATCCTCATGATCAAAACTAGGCTTACCAAACACATTATTTAGGCAACTAAGAAGCTTAAACAATAAAAAAAGTTTAACAGAAAGTTTAGCAAGCGTTATTTTTAAAGATGACCTTTTAATGAATTACTCCTTGTCAGGCTTACACACACACACACAGTACGATACAAAACAGGAAGAAATTCAAAGAAATAACACGACTACAGAATTGTGATTTTTTGTTACATTCTATACTGATATTAACTTTGAACTCTTGATGAAAAAGGTCAGCTTCATAGAATACTAAAAATATCTGTTCCTATATCAAGTAATATTAATGATGTTTACGTATTACTAACTCTACGAGTTACTGAACACGTGTCAGTCAACTGTACAAATATATTTTACAAACGTTCCGGTAATACCTACTGTAGAGTTCTATCTATATACATATCATCCAACATTAACGATAATACTGTCCGTTTTTTTCATTCTTTCTTGTAATTTTTAACGAACAAATAATGTTATCGACATTGAGTATTTTATTTAATTTAGTATATTTAATTGATAGCCCCCGGCGAGTCAGCGTTAAGTCTACGGACTTACACTGCTAAAATCCGGAGTTCGATTCCCTGTATTAGACATGAGCGCCGAGAGCTAACTGTGTAGCATTACGCTGAAACAACAACGGCTTACTTAAAAACAGTATTTAATGAAAACTTGTAAAAACTACATACAAGTTTTGTGGGTGGTGCTCTCCGGGTAAGCGTGTATCAAACAAGGTTGACACGACTCAAGGTAATACATATTTTTTTTAAAGGTTGCCATTACTTTTCCCATGGTGTATCAGAAAAATTACCTGACATTTAAAATCACGCATCATATTACAAGATTTGTTGTTTTAATGCACTTGTGGAAGATATAAAAACAAATGATTCTAACTATGCATATAAGAAAGAAAAATAAGTGACAACAGCAACAGTTATAACAGCAAATTTTAACCACGTACGGGGAGGACGCACAAGATATATAATTGCAACGCATCCTGTGATTGCTGATATCACGTGGAGGTACATGTGAGAGAGCGCGTGACGTTGAGCATGTGGCCGATTGTGTGGTCTGCCTACTGCCTAAAATAGTGTCAACATCCTACCAATACGACTTTGTTGACGGGTTTTCAGGGTGAAAATAGCTCAAAATTATTTTATTAGTATAACCATTCTTATATTATATTGCAACTGATCCACTGTATTTTCGAAACGCTACCTCATCTCATATTTATGCCAGCTGAACAATGGAAAAACATTATGTACACAAAAGTATTGTTACTTCTTACATGACAGGCCCAATGATTAGCGTACTATGCTGTAGATCCATGGTTCGCACACCGTTACTGCCACACAATAAAAGATCACGCTCCGCATTTTTTGAGCCGAGAGTGCTTTTTTTAGGGTGACGGTCAATTCCTATTATTCGATTAGAGAACCACCGAGTTGGCGGTAGGTGGCGTTGGCTAGCTGTATTATTTCTAGTTTGTTTGTTTGTAATTAAGCACAAAGCTACACAATGGGCTATCTGTGCTCTGCCCATCACGGGTATCGAAACCCGGATTCTAGCGTTATAAGTCCGCAGACATGCCGCTGTGCCACTGGGAGGCCATTTATTTCTAGTCTACCATTTTAAAATTACGGATAGCTAACGTAAATAGCCCTCGAATAGGTGTCCGTAAATCAGTAACAACAAAAAATATACACATGACAAAAAACATTTTATCCTTTAACCATTAATTGTTATTACGATATATTTTATCTGATTTTATATTTCATAATTTAAATTGTTCTACTTCATCATTCATTTTTACCAACTAGTTTAAAGAAGGTTATTTGTGGAGATGAACCTACAATTAATTCTACGATATTATTCTATCCTTACTATAAGTTTATTTTAGGCTAGTACCGGTTTATATAGGTTATTAACTTCAATTTAATCATTCTCAAATGCGTGGGTGGTAAGCCATGCAAATAAAATCAACTACGTAGCGAACTGTTTGTAAAATAACAAGCTTGTCTCTAATAATGACTATTAAGACATAAAAAAGTCAGCTCGTCGATATTATTAGGGCCCCAAAACAATTTTGTTTTCAATGGTCAAAAATAAGTGAAGTCACTGGTTTCTTAAGATACACTGATTATCTAAAGCCGTGTATTTGAATCCACAGTATTTCTCCTATTCACACGTTATATTAGGCTAATTGTTAGGGAAAAAATCGAAAATTTAAGATCTATTTCCATTAAAAGAGTTCAAGTAACAGTGTAAAGTTAAATGTTTTGTTTCATACACTAGCGTCATCTTCAAATAAAGATAAAACATAAAAAAAAATATATGTTTACGTGATATAAAGTTTCGTAATCATGTATCATGTCTCCAGTTCTGAGCACATGAGATAACCAATGTCCAACATTAGCGACCCAACATGGGCTGTACCAAGAGTTACTCGGACCTTATTCAAACAACATTGCACGTTCCGGCTGTCCCTGGAACTAGTTCTTCCATTGTTGATCGTATTTTCGTATTATTGCCCTTCCATTGTTGATTGTGTTTTCGTATTATTGCCCGGCATGCAATCTCCACTCTACCGAATTTCTGCGAAGATCGGTGAGGTCAATGCTAGAACTCACATCTTAACAAACTTCCCACGGATCCTCCACTGTCCGTTTCCTCTGCCATCTTTTCCGTGAAAGTTGTCAATGATTTCGAGATGCGACTGGAAGCTTGTGTACTTTCTTGGTCGGTAGTTTTT